ATTTTGAAAATATATATATATATATATCCTTTGTATCGTCTAGAGAAGATCAAAAAAACAAATGTGATAGATTAACCAAATACCATTGAATACACATTCCGGTAAAACAGTTACAAATCTTATGACAAACTATCACAAATGTACGGCGATATGTCTCCCATTTGTAGAGATATTTCAGATAAAAATATATTACATTTGTACCTAAAAATACACAGATTAAATACTGTTTTTTTTTCTCTCATGTCATAGAAGTAATATTAAAAAATAGGTTGTTATGGTTAAAATGTTAGGCAATTGTGTGGTAGACATCGGTAATGTACAAGTATCGAATGTCTCGATATATATCCAAAGTTTTTGTACAAAAATCCATAAGTGCCATTAACGAGTGTTTTTCGGGATATCCCTTCTCCCTTAAATTACAGGTTATATATCCTGTACTTCTACCATTTCTATCTCTTCAGTTGATAGTAAATTTGGAAAAAAAACCTACATCTAAATAACAGCATGTAACTAATAACATATTGAGGATCTCTCCTATTGTAATATGTTATTTTTTCTTTAAATAACCTTTCTATATTCGTCAAAGTCCATTTTGAAGAACATTGAACGCGGCGCCCAGAGCCCAACTTAATTCGTGGCCGTTGATCTTCTTATAAAGCTACAATATATACTTTACATTATCTCTCAAGATAAGAACAACATCCTAGTAAGAGGAAGTTCTACTCACGTATAATTTCGTCGACGGTTCCAAGCCGAATCCGTTCCTCAGCAATACATAAATAAATGTCAGATCTAAGCACATGAACGGTTGATCCGTGTTCGGATAGTCACACGTCTCCATGGCTTGCTTCAAGAAAGCACCGAGTTGCACTACACCCCCCAAGAATGGATCTATCAACGCCACCTAGAAAGCAATAACGCGATTATCATACTTCTTCCGCTCAACTTCTCATTATATACGATACGTATATACGATCACATATTCATGCTGAATACAATTCATTCATTTCATCCATTTCATTCAACATTGATTACATTCATACGGCAACCTTAATCCAGTTTAGTAACAACCGTAGTTAGTGAACTCTCGTGTCTGGTATATCCTTTTAGATTTAAAAATACATACCCCAATTAAATGCAAGAGTTCGCTGACTACGGTAGTTACTAAATCGGATTCACTTTGTCGCCGTGTCGCAATCAAAGTCATCCTTATAATTATTCTCGCGCGGTATTCACGATCGAGCCCTCCTTACCTCCGTCGCACGCTCGAAGTAATACGAGAACGCGTATACTTCGTGATCCTTCAAGCCTATCGGCTTATCCGCGAGGGTGCCGACGTATTTCTCAATGATCTTCAGGCATTCCGAAAAGCGCACCACCGGCTTGTTCTCATCCCCGCCGGCGAAATTCTGAGTCTTCACCAGTTTATACGTGCCATTCATCGGACCCTTCACGATGTAGTCGCGCCCGCCGTAAGACCATTCCGCGGACACGATTGGATTCACGCATTCCGAATGTATCTCTATTGGCAGCTTGGAATCCGCATCCTCCGGATTCGTATTGTGTGTTAAAATCGCCTTCCGGGCGGCCATCAGCCCCATGCCCAGGTAACTGTGCGTGTACAGACTCATATTATGGTTGAATACATTGATGGAGTAGACGTGCTTCTCCAGTTTCTTAGCTTGAATACCGTCCGGCTGATACGTGATTTGCGTCGATCCCCCGCCGAGGTCCAGCGCAGCCACAGTGGCCTGAGAGCTGAGTGAGGTAAAGCGGTCTAACAGGAAATTGACGGTGAACCAGGAGAAGATCCCTTCGTCCGTGCCTTCCATGATGGAAATCGAGTTCTTCGAGACCTGAAATCCAGATGTTTGGAAGAGCTTCCTGCATTCTTCCAATATGGCATTGGCTTTGTGCTCCGGCAATAATCTCAATCCCGCAGTGGCCTTCATAGTGAGCATTGTGCGAGGCCAATCCGTTTGAGGGATCACCGTCTTGGCTTTGTTTAAGAGCACGGTGAGAGACCTCGCGGCATCCACCGGCTTGTCCGCAAACGAGCTCAACCCAGGCTTGACTTCGCTGAACAACTCGCCATCCAGTATCAAATTGCCGTTAAGAATGGACTCGTGAAAGTTGAACGCCAACACACGGCTGCCGGTGGAACCGGCGTCAATGACAACAACGTAGAAGGGTTTTTGTAAATTAAACGAGAACGCTAACGAGTCAATAGCTTTACTACCTATCCTGATTGGTTTTAAGTCATTCGCTATCGCGACATAGCCTAGGAACAATGTACCAAGTATCGCCAGCACGGTAAAGTACTTCCTTCCCAGTTGACCGGTGGTTTTCTTCTGGCGGGATGCCAATTCATTATCGCACTCCTCTTCATTTTCAGTTCTTAGCTGAAAATACAAATATTACGGCGCTCGTGAGAAGAGGTTCCCAGTGAAATTTCGCTCACGGGATACTATCCGGTAACCCGAAGAGGGGAAGAAACATGCAAAGGGCATCGTAACCGGCAACAGAGTCGCCGGATTATCACAAATATAAACGCGATACTTCTCTTGGAATGATTCGGGCACAGTTTGCGGTCGAGACATTTTTCGGAAATCGCGCGCGAAAGAGCGAGAAACGTCGGCTGTTTCTATGCGACAACATTAACCTCAAACGGGCGGCATATTGCGACAAGCGCGGACGAGAAAAAGATGCGAGCGACCGAAGCTCTCGATCGTCTGTTACTTACGAGCGTGTATTGCATCTAGGACGCGAGCCGTATGATCCGCGCGGGGCAGGCTGGTCATGTAAAAAACGCTATTCTTCTCATTCGACGGCGAAGGGCCCGACGGGGCATCGCGAACATCGCATCGCGCGCGTTATCATGTGTCAAAGAAGGCGGCGTCACGTGATAGAAAAAATAACCGAGGTGACGCGCACACGCAACACCATGGTTCCACTTAACGACGTGAGCGTCGTTAAATCTTCATTTAACGTTCAGCGAGAAACAAAGATAGAACGACGTTCGCGTAGTTGCGATCGTTAAGCGAAATCCGGCCCATATCGATACGCCCGATATTCAATGCACGACGACGACGCGCGCTCCAATCGGAGAAATTGTTCTCTAGGGACACATAGTTAGCGACATTTTTTTCACTTCCGCGAGCTCTCCGTCGTTATGGTTGCATTCGATCTTGAGGAGGTGTAACGCACTCGCGCGTACAGATTCCCGTATTTTCTTCGTTCGATTGTCCGACCGAGGATCCCCCGCTCGGTCTTGAAGATTCCTCGCGAAAAAGCGACGGAATCGCGAGCGAAAGAGTCGCGTGAAATTGCAGGTTCGCGCAACGAGAACTCGACGAGGGCTGAATTCGTAATACACTTGAAAACGGATCGGTTAGCGATGCCCGCGCACTTTGTATCGTTCTATTGTTCGGAATGAACGGTCGACGTGGACGTACCTTTCGTTGTCTCACATTCATGTTTCGTCGGTTCAACGATTCAATAAACTCGGATCGAACGGAACGGCTGGACAGACGGCGGTAATCTGAAAGGACGAAGAACGGAAGATTACGCGAGGCACATCTTATTACGATAAACTATCGCGATCGGAATTTACGACGCGACGGAATTGATCATCGCCCGAGTGCGGTGTTCATGTTCGTGAGGAGATTACGCGCGTGCACGTGTACGATATTGGTGACCGCGACTCATTCTGACATTGCACGTTCGATAATGTCCCAAGGCCTCCTTGGGAATATATAATTTTGTGCCCCCACGATACCGGCGAATAATGCGACATGAATATACGAAGATACGAGGAAAGAGAAGGAAGGAAGCTAAGCTGACTGTCATGATGTCACATTCGGTCTGATTACGAAACTACTTAGCGAGCGCCACGTGATCGTTCCTACGATATAGGATCAGAGAAGCTGTTGTATTCTCGGTGTATGTCTGTGTGTGAAAGAAGAGAGAAAGAGAACTTCTTTGCCCGTTATCTTTGAGATTAATTTCTGTGAAGATTATGTGAAAATGTGGAGGACACGTTCTAGCATAAGGAGAATTAAGTAATAACGAGTCGAATTCAAACTGCTTATCAGCGCCTTGATGGGTATTTAGGAAGATCCCTCTTTGCGATCTCCCATAATATTCCTTATCCTTGTCTTCGACACGCACTTGATAATAAAACTGACGAGTCATTATCACTTACTCTCTTGGTTGTGCAAGAAGTTAGATAATGAACTTATTTTTACGATTTGTTCGTAATATAAGTGTTTGGCGGATATTAGTTTATCTGCGAAGAGAATCGCGTTTAATGTGAGTAACCTTGTGAATTTAACAGTTTCAAATGGTTTCTACCTCCATAGGAGATAGCGTGAATATTATTGTGACAGGATGCGTCATAGGGTGCGCGCATATATGAGATAGAATGAAAAATATTCAATAAAAGCGTAAAATTTAAGTATACAGAATAACGGTCAAAGGTATATATTTGCGATTTAATAGTTGTTTGCTTGTTGTGTAATTTTTCCAGATGCTAATTTATTTTAAATATGGCCTCTTGTTAAAAATACGTCATATTTGCATATGTACATAGATAAAATGTTATCAACATAAAATATATATTTTTTCTGTTGATTTAAAGATTGCATAACCAATGTCAAAATATTTTGTAATATATTAATAAATATCTTACAAATATTCACATGGACACTGCTATTTAATATTTTATCATGCACTATTTACTTTTGCATTTATATATAAAGAAAAAATGCAGATAATTTAGTATTAACCATTGTTCAAAGGTTAAAACTCTTTTCTGCTCTAAAAATAGGTTCCAACTCAACAAACATATTTTTAGGTCGTGGTGTTCTCCAGACTATTCATACACAGTGTGAACCATGCTGACGTCAACTTCTACATAGATAAACTTTAACGAAGCAGTTTTAATCTAAGTTACGAAGGAATGTACAAATATTTTATTTTAATAGTTTTCTATGCTTTATTGAAGGAGATAACAAGTGATTTTATTTAATCTGACAGAAGACTGACAAGCATATACTTGAGCATCCAATATGTAAGAAATAAAATTATTTATCTCACAATCAATCGTGCCTTGTAATGTAGAGATATAGTGTTGAGTAACTTTATGATTGAATAATTCAATAGAAAAATAGAGAAATAAATTACTTGTACTTAACTTGTACTTAACTGAGAATACTTTCAAAACTTACGTGAAACTTAAAAAATTGTTTTATATTTACAAATGATTATTCACCTTCAATATTTTATATCACGTGAACCTTCTTATTTTATAAATGTATTCTTATTCTATTTTATTCTTATTTTATAATATAAACATTTTTTTATTTAGATTACAAAAATGACTCGCCGCACTACAGATAATCTTCTGAAAGAAGCTGTCATCCAAATCGGAGCTGGAGGGTCAGCAGGTTTTATTGAGGTTTGCATAATGCATCCGATGGATCTTGTCAAGACACGTTTTCAGCTTCAAGTGAAACCAACAAAGTTGGATCCGTTATATTATACGGGTATTTTGTAGTGTAACAGCAATGTTACATCAAATTATATATATATATATATATATATATATATATATATATATATATAT